ACATTAACCCTCTGACTTTATAGTATATTATTACTTTCGAATGCGAACGTCTAGAAATATCAAGTGCAATCTGAGTTGTTGTCTTGTTGTATATATTTTGGCTGTGAATTATTTACAACATTAAGCTATTGTTTCCTTTCTGTAATACTTAATCTTTCCTAATATCTTCTTATTATTGTTAAAATAACAGAATTTTAAAAGTCATTTGAAGTTTTGCTTTGTTTTACGTCAGGTTCATGGAATAAGAACCAGACACACTATGGGGTTATAATAATGGTTTTGCTTCGAGTATGAGGGTAGGCTTTTATTGAGTAAATAAGCTGCGAATGAGTAGTATCACAACTCCACGCTCATTAGGTGCAACTCATAGTCTTGCACACAAATCGAGACGCTTCTTTAATGCATCATCATGAAACACCAGGCATAGAAGTGACATTTTTTATGGTCGTACAGAAATGAAATCTGGCGAATAACCAATTCTAGGGTAAACTGTTAAATTTCTTTAAAAACTGTTTTTGTTTTAATGTCTAACAGAGGTAGTAATCAGATAAGACTGTGGGGGTGGGGGACTGGAGAACGAGTTTAGCAGTGTGGCAGTTGTTTTTTTTATCTCGACTCACTGTAATCACTGAATTTCTCTAGGATATGCTTTCATTTAGAAATTGTACATTAGTCGAGTAACCGAGATACAGGCAGTTGAACTTCAACGTGTTAAATCTGGAAAGGCTTTAATATGATTGCAGTTTACTTACCATATTTTTAAGTTAATATGTGGGTTCTTTGGTTCTACTCAATACTTCTTATTATTTAGTCTATCAGGTATATCGTACAGACATTATGCGTTAGAAACAGTTGAGCCATTCCAGTTACAGCATTTTGGTGTATATTTTTTCAACTAAAAAGGAAAAAAAATGAGATAGAGTAGAAAAGGTACGATTCACTGCTCGTTATTAAGGCTTATCTGTAACTTTGAACGTACGTTAAGCGATGCAGCTATCAAAGGAATTATCACTGAACTATTTGGGCTGTTGTAGTTGATCCCACCTAAGACTAAATGCGCTGATTGGTTATCGTAGAGCAATTAATAATACCATATCTGGTCCTTTCGATACCATGTAAATTCTATTCATAAGGTTCACCATTCCCTTCACTAAGCTTGAAAATTTACCATCTTCTGGTTAGATCTAACAACATCATAACATGTTTGGTCGATAAAATTTGATTTGCATTCAGTAGTAGGATAACATGATTATAGATGGTTTTCCATATTTCAAAACTTAAAAATGAAACTAGGCCAGTGTTATTGATGTCGCAGCGATTTAATTTTGTTGTCATAAGTTAAAAAAAAGTGTTTGATCTCTCTTGTTTGTCTCTTAAGTTTTTTTTCTCTCTGAAATTAAGTACTGTCAGTGTCTCTATGTACATTATGTTATTGATTGTAATGAAAACTTTAGTATTAGGAACTTATTGTCACACGTCAAACTCTTGATTGATTTAAGTTTTTCTCATGGAGTATTGTGACTCACTTTACATTCAGTAGACAATTTTATGCCTGGAGATGGTAATTTCTTACATAAATATATTGATTGCTTTTATTATTATTTTTTCCATCGGTAATCTCAGCACTAGTTTAATCTCTTGTCCCCCAGACGTTTATCTAAACTAAGTATGTGATGAATTGTTGAGTTGTGTCTTGGCTCAGTGTTTAAAATCAATCAATCAGCTAAGGACACATTTAGTATCAATCTTCTCCAGTTAGTCGTGTATACTCAAGAGATCACCTTTTTTTTCTTGCGTAGATATAAAATGAATGTCATTGTTGTTGTATGTCTGTTTATCTTAGATTGAACATTCAGCCAGTTGCTGCTGGTGGTTAGCGATAAAATATGATGTAACACATGAAGTGAAGGCAGACATGCAAAGCTTTATAGTGAATATAGTCTGCAATCTTTAAAATACTCATCACCGGAAATTAACTTCCACATACTCTAATAATATTGTGCGTTAATATCTCGTACTAGTCTATCATTTGGAAACTACAGGTTTATTTAGCAAGGTTTAAAGTTATTGACATTTCAAAATTACGAGTTGATCACGGATTGATATCAGTTAGAGAACCATTGAAAACCAACCAGGGAGTACTGGACAGCTGTTTCATCCTAGTTTTGGGAATCATCGGCAGTACGCACCCACCACCGGGGTTCGAACCCAGGACCTTCCGGTTGCAAGGGAGGCTCGTATACAATTAAGCCACTGGCCCATGAATTCTAACTTCTACCAGTTAGTGATTTAGCGCGACCCCAACCAATGTCGTCGGTGGGACATCCATCCTTACACGTGACTGGATGGACCTCACTGGTCACGACTTCTCAAACTGATATCAATCCGTGATCAACTCGTAAAAACAAAACTAATCCTTACAAACCAACTGTAGAAAATTATAAAAATTCTCATATTTCAGTGGAGGAATTACCGAGTTTAAGTTATTTCTAAAGGTATGTGAATGTAAACAGAACTGTATATATAATTCAACAGTTTACAACTCGTAATGCTAAATAATGTTGACCCAGAAATCTACTGATGAATACCTAGTTATTGAAACTAAGACTAGCAAACAGGGTTAAGTGTATAAGCCAATTCATTTCCTTTCAAGCTGCTGTTCGAATCTTTCAGTAGATCTACATATCGGATATTGATCGTTTGTTTAGCTATGCCTCATATGTATCTGTTAATGATTCATTTGGAACAAACTAGAAAAGGGTATAACTATTTGAGCCGGATGCAATTATATTGATATCAAATTGTTATTATTATTATTATTATTGTATCCTTTAATTCCTAGAGGAACATAGGGCTTCAGCCGTGCGTCTCCATTGCGTTCGGTTCTCTGCTAGAGTCTTCACCTGGCTCCATGTCTGCCCACACGTTTTCATCTCCTCTTCACATGACCTCCTCCAAGTCACCCTTGCACTGACGACCAACTCGTCGCTTCCCTTTCGGGTTCCACTTGAGCAATGGCTTGTCTAGTGATGTCACTTGATGGTTTCCTCAGAGTATGGCCAGCCAATCCATCTCCATTTCTTCCTGCATATTTGTTTCACAATCGGTTCCTGGTTGGTTCGCTCCCAGAGATCCGTCTCTGTTGCTGATCTTTTCTGGCCAGCCATCTGATCTTGAGTATTGAGCGAAGACGACTGTTAATGAAGGTCTGTAGTTTGTTTGAGATGCTCTTTATGACGCGCAGTGCAAGTCTCTGATCCGTATGGTGAGTAACACTAACTTCACATTGGAGTTGAAAATCCAGATCTTATCTTCGTTTTGATGCTGAGTGCTGTTGACCTCCACACAGACTTGAGAGTAGTGAAAGCTTGTCTTGCTTTTCCTATTCTCGCTTTGATATCCTCGTCAGTTCCGCCTGTAGTTGAAACGATGCTTCCCAGATAGGTAAAAGAGGTTGTTTCTTTCATAATTCATTCATTGAACATCATTGCTTCAGGTAGTTAACACTACAGTGACATGGAAATTTTGAATCCCGTTTTGTTTTAAGCAAAGAAATGTCTCTTTTGTTGTTAGCAGCAAATGAATCTTTCCTTGTGTGTGTGGTTTATGTTTCGTAATTGTAAAATGAATGAAATACAATGTTAAGGTGTCATTGAACTCGTTGACAAACATAGCTTAAATATTTGTGATAAAATCAATCTAAACAAATTATTGCCCAATTAATCCCATGTACTAACACATCTCGCTCATTTCATTTCGGTATTAGAGGAATGAAGAACTAATTCAAAATTGAAAAGTTTATGGAATCAAAACAAATTCATTCTTAATCGGTGGGGATGAGTAACCTGAAACCTGCAGGTCAAATTTCGTAACTGTTCGTATTGATTGTTGTGGCATATGTGTGCTCACAGCCTTCGGTCATTCTAATTATTTTGATCACGAATTGACTTTAGTTAAAGAAACATTGGAAACTAGGGAGTACTGAACAGTTGTTTCTTCCTTATTTAAGACTCTTCAACAGCATGCGCCTGTGATCTTACAGGGGTTGAACCCAGGACCTTCGGGTTACAAGGTTACCATTGAGTCAGTGGGACAGAGTTCAATAGCCAAGAATGCTAACTTCTGCCTATTTGCGTTACACATAAAGCTCGACCACTACCGGCCAATGTCGTCGGTAGGTATTTGTCCTCCCGCCCAACTTCGTAATAAAAACTGAAATCAATCAAATCCCTACAAACTAACACTTGAAAACATTATGACTATATTTTTGCTAATCATGTTATTGCTGAGATTCAGCTGTAGTCTATAGTCTCCTGTGCGTCGGTAGCACAGCGGTTAGAACTCTCGCCGACAATGCACATAGTCTGGAGTTCAATCCCCTGCCGACGCACACCTGATATCAGTGGTCGGCCTGCAAAATTTGGGCTACCGATATCACATGCTGAAAATTCCATACTTGTACCAAAAGTACTGTACGGAATCAAGCTATAATCAAAATAAATTTTTAGAAAATAAATTAAAATAATGCCTAAATTGTACAAAATCAATCCAATAGTTTCTCTGCTGAAATATTATGCATTAGTGTACACATTGTGATAAACCATGTAATACTGCTCTTAAAACAAAGTAAAACTACCAACTAAGAAACACTACATTAAGTAAGCAGGATTGTATATCAGTGTTTAAACATAGCACATACAAAATCTGTCAATCGACATAATCAGACAGAGAGTTTTTGTATCTAGTTGAGAAGAGATTCATTACTCCATATTTGTTTTCTATTTTAATTCTTCGTTTTCATATTTTGTAACTGTGTGGTTCTGTATACAGGGGGTGAAACAGCCTCGTTTATATACACAACATTATAAACCAACTGATTCTTTCTATCTGCCCGAGTAAATTAAGTCATAATTATATTAAATTTAAAAGAAATTCAATTCTTTATTTTTAGCAATTATAATTTCATAATATTTTTGTTTCATGCTTTTAAACATGTGATTGCTGATTTTACACAATTGGCTAAAATCGGATTAAAATAAATAAAGTTACGTAGGACTGGATGTGAATGCGCGTATCGTGTTTTTGTTTTCTTACTTCACCGACACACACACAAAATTAGATAGAGTGCATTACGTTAGGGTGGTTTTAATTGGTTCGTCTATCAGGTTTTCATTTGCTTGGCACAATTATGTGTATATATATATTATAACAATATTAATATTAATAATAATACTTTTTAAGCATCATCTATTCGACCGTTATACACATATGTGACCTTGCAATCGATTTTAGTTGTGTGTGTGTAAGCATTCTTTCTCTATGCATGCACACGCATACCATACCGTTTTGTCTTGTTATATGTCTGGTTACTTTACCACCACCAGTCAGTAAAATCAGTGGCACACACATTTGTAACTCTCTGTACCTTTCACATTCTTTTTGAATGTTGTTGGTTGTATAGAGTTTCATTGAATTGTTACCTACCTACCTACCTGCCTAACCCTGAAATTGATTTTAGAATTCGATTTTTAGTTTTCCGTTTCTTGTTCACACATTTATTAATCAAATAATCAAGAAAACGTGAAGGAGCATTAATTCTCTTATTATCCTGTGAAACTTATATTTTTTGTTGCTGCACTTCTTTTGCGGAAATAATTTCTATGATCAGATTGCTCCTGCTATTATTTACTGGATCTTTAAAATTACTTCTGGATATATAAAATTGTTCATTCTACAAACACTTTCATAGTGGAATAAGTATATTTTATTTTGAATACATGTATGTATATTATCACCTGCGCTTCAGCAGTGGTGACCATAATAAATATTGGATATACAATCTGATGTGACAAGATGGATTGTATTTAATTGTATTTTCTTGATATCTCAAGTCCTTTATATAGATAGCACAATTATGCCTGTTCTCGTTGGAACGCCTAGTGTGATCCTTGTATCACGTGTTCAGGTGTATCAAACATGTTCTGTTGATCTAGCATGGCAACGTGCAGTTCATGCTTGTCAACGTTGTCCTAAAGCTATTTTAACTACAAATGCTGTTACACCTACTTTAATAAGTCAATCAGGTAATGAACGTGCTACATCGAGATTCTGTCCTGCTGGTGTACACATGAGTAATTGTGTCCCAGCCTCAGAGATATTAGCTGCTACTGGTAAATCTGTTATTACTGGTACACATTCAATTTCACCTAGTAATGATACAAATGGTGGAATGTCTTCTACTCATTTGTCATGGGGACCACCTGATTTACCACTTCCAGCAGCTAGTCCTAATCATCCTGTACATGCTGCTCATATAGCAAGATCTTCATATCCGCCTGCTTCATCTCCGACTACTGTAGCAGCGTCAACTCCTTCAGTAAAAACAACCACATCCACTGCTGTTCATCATTTTCATCCTGTACAACGTTCAAAAATAGTAGATTCCAAGGGTGGATCGGTTGAGAAAGTTAATAATACAGCCTCTGCAACTATTATTCCTACTTCAAGTCCTCCACCTGCTGATATAACATTACCCATATCATCAAAAACAGTTCCAAGTTTACCAAATGATTCTGCTACTGAGAAGCAGACAGTTGATATCACTAAAAATAATACAGATTTAATAAGTTGTAATAACGTTGAACCAGATAAACCACACTCTAATGTATCTTTTCAAGATAAAGTATCACTTGAAACCACTGATATTTCTTCTGGTTTTGAAAATGATTTGCCATCAAACCAACTACGGACAGAAGTAAGTTTCTACTGTCTAAACGGTTTTGTGGTATTTGACAACTTGATTTATTGGGACACGTGGCTAGACATATGTAGATTTCCTCGGCTTCATTGTTTCATCGCCTACCTCGTTAAGGCACTCGTTTTTAAAGCATTCCCACTATAATATTGTTACCAGTATAGTGGTTTTACAAAAGCATTGTCATTTTTAAAAGACAGAAGATTGGGAAAATTTATCTTGAAGACGGAGGACAAACAGACTCACATATGGCATAAGCTTAGGTGGTTGATGATTGTTTTTGTAAGTTATATAGAAATGACCATCACTGAAATCTAAGATGTGCATTTTGTCCTATGTAGGACCTGTCATCTGGACGTAACTGCAGTCCCCAGTGAGTGATGATGTTCCCACTGAGACTCGAATATAGAGTACCCTTTGATTCAAACGCCAATGCGTTGTCCACAACACCACTTGGGCAGTGGGAACACGACCACTCACCGGAGATTGAAGGTACGTCTAGTTGACGAGTCCCAAATAAGAAGAGACGCGCATCCTGGCTTCCACTGCTTGTCACCATCCACGAAATAACATGTGCAATTGTTTTTTTATTATTTCTGTCTATTCGGGTTTGTGTTTAGTCATTTTCATTTCTGCGTTAGTAGTAGTAGTAGTATTTCCATGCTCATGGAATATGCATGATAGTAATTAAAGATAAGGTTGTTGGATAAATTCACTTTACAGTTAACTGTTTTTATTTTCGAAACTATTTAGAAGTGTTATTAATCTTACCTAATGGAGGTAGGTATAGTCTTTTGTAGTTTAACAAAGTAACCTTTTAAACTAGAGATGTAGTCATTTGCAGTATCATTCATTTTTGATACCTATGGGGATTGCTTTTTATGAATTCCTTGAACTGACTGACTCCTTGCAAATTTTCACGAGACCCATTTCCTAAAGTAGTGTTTTAAAGACATTTGAATGGCAAGGCTCAAAGTGGTGCACATGTGATTCATTGTTTGTTTTCTTCCCGACTCTGAGAAACTTCACCAATCTCATCAGGTGTTGTTATTTGGTCATCTTGAAAAATATTAACTTTGTGACAATATAAAATGTTGAAGGTTTTAGTGTTTTGTGGTTTATTTCAGCTTATTTCACTTTTGAAATTAATCAAATAAATCCTGTAGAAAACTACTTATTTGAAGAAAGTGCAAATATTTAACGTATTCATGCTTTTCGTCGTTGTTTACTCACACACATGATTTTAGAGCTCAGGTTACCATAGATTCTGAATTGAGAAATAATTAGCCACGTGGTTTAATTCTTATCAAGTTGTATAAATGTTTTGTTCTACTTTTATCACACTCCCTTTATTCTTTCTTTAAAAGTTGGTTGTCAAGTATATCACCCCATTAGCTTTGTGGACTGGGCACCAGGATACTATTTCTTACAATACACAACAATAGCATCCTGTTGTATCAGTTTATTTTGTCAATATAGCACTGATAGGTTGTTTTGTCGCATGGATTTCTGATGAAAATTTGGTTATCCTGACAAATGTTTGACTAAAAACCATTATTATTTAAGAATTTGTTTGTTGATATATGTATTCCCTTATTTGGTCCTTTTTTTGGCACAAGATGTAGTTGCTGCGTTTCAGTAGCCTAACACATAATACTTTGTCTTTTAAAACTATTTTCTTGTTTTCATCCCACCAGTAATACTATCCCGCATAAAGTTTCTTCACGTTCTCTTAACTCCGTGACTGTCGTTAACTGCCTAAGCCTACCTAACGAATTCATGTAAAAGCCGTCATCGTTCGCACCGTACGCCTATTCCGATAACGGTCTTTACTAACAGAAACTCTAGCATCTCGGGCTTTGGATACATGTTCTATCTCTGAGTTATTCATACAAGATTCAAAATAAGTCATTCAACTAACTGTATCTGGTTAACTTGATGTAGCCTGGAAATTTCGCCCAACGCATATCAAGAGATTCTTTGATTAACTTTCGTGAACTTGAAGATGTAGGGATAGGATTGAACTTTAGAACAAGACACTTACTGCTTAACTGCATCCCAGTGAACAATCGTCTATGTTCTGTTTGGTTAAATAGATTCTTGAGACAAGGGGAAGATTTAGGTACTCAGAAATGTCTCTGCGTAATCACTGTTTGTACACCCGCTGACTGTAATCTAGATGAAATGAAAAGTGCAGCTTAACAGAAGTTATCCAATAAGCTCCAAAAAGAAAACAGAACGTTCAGATGTAGTCGTATTAGTAGGTGAATCACTGAGACTGTAAAGGTTCATCAGTTGACATGGCTTGAGTATGTACTGTGCATGCAGACCTACCTTCTTTGTCGATGAGCAATGCTGACTAAAGTAAGACCAAATCAAATTCGCCGCCTGCAAATTAATTATCAATTTACAATTCACACAGTTCGAGGTGAACAGTTCGCCCGAGTAGCTAACCAGCTAGAAATTGGGTGGTGTGAACTGATTTGACTCTTTGAGCTAAGTGGAACCGGGTTCACCGTTGATGGGCTAGACGAAATGGCCGTCACTTTAATCTGGCTAGTAAGCACTACTGATTGATGTCAGTGATATGCGACTACTCACCTCAGTCAATCAGTAGTATATAGTTTTACGCATTCAAAGTAAGAATAAGTCGAGAAAAGTTTCGGGTGATAATAAATAAGTACGATACCAATCTATAAAGTCGTTGACTGCTTGCTTTCTTTAAACACATTGTGTAGTGCAAACTCCTTGGTTTAATTTCTCAGGTTTCAAATAATCTGTGATTAAAGACAGTTGATGACAAGGTTCAAAGTTGTGTGCAGTGGTAACAGATACATTCACTGCTTGTTACCTCACATCCAGATTCTGAAAAACCTCACTAATCTCATCATCACGTCCTAGTTTCTGCTTCCTTATCTTTTAATCTTCTTTAGAGTGTGTGGCTACTTCAAGTAACATCACTTTCGTGCAAAGATTTATGTTCAGTTGTTAGTCACGTAAAGGATGTGTTGATCAATAAGATATACTAATTACAACACTTGTAATACAATAAATCTAACATTGATTGTTTAAATTTCATCATTATGATTCCTGTTGTTAGTCATTTCTGTGTTGAATCTTCTTTTGAAAATATTTATCGATAAGTGGTTTTTTTCCTTCTATTTTAAATTCTTGTATCAACACATTTAATTGTTTGCTATCGAGAGTTGAATAACTGCGTTCATTCTTCATTCACAGTTATATGAATATTATAAATTATATTTAATTTTTAGTACTTATCAAAATATTGATATTTATCAAATTAATTGAGCAAAGAATATCCTTTTCGATAAATTCCTCTTCTGGCTCTATATATATGTTTATATACATAGAATATTCTAGATTAGTAGTCAATAACAATATTAGTGTAAATGGTTATCCAGAAAAGTTTATTGATAAGAATATGAATCTAAAATCAAAGCAGCCCAAGTTACCAACAGTTCCAAAAAAGGCCTTATTCTTACAAATGCAGTTCCTTGGGGACAACATTAGCGAGATACTAACACAGCGCCTTAGAAATGCGGTAAAAAGAGCATTCCCTGCTGCCGAATTACGCTGTGTCTTCAAAACCACTCCTCTTTTGCGTTCGGGAGTAAAAGACAAACTGCCTAATTTCGCCTCTTCCATGTGTATCTACCAATTGAACTGCTCCTGTGGAGCCAGTTACATAGGCCGTACAATTAGGCGTGTTTCTTGTCGAATTTCCGAACATCACCCTGCGTGGTTAAGCAAAGGACAATCAAAATCTATTCTCAGCGCTATTCTATCTCATCTTGTGGATACAGAACACAAGATTGATGTTAATCATGCTTTCAGGGTCATTTACCGCATACCTACGAATCTCAATTTTGCCTTAAGAGTTCGACTACTAAATATTGCTGAGGCTGTTGGGATCCATATTAACAAGCCTAATTTATGCATCCAAAAGAAGTTAGTTCAGACATTATCCTTACCACTTGGCCATCTAGGTTTGAATGATCCTCAATTTTTGTGAAATTTTCCTTATTTTAGTCGATATTCTATTTGCTACTATGTCTTTATTATTATTATTATTATTTATTTAAGCATCTTTAATGAACTGTAATTTTCCATTGATCATACTTTACAAATCGATATTATTTAAAAACACTAATATTGTTATTGACTACTAATCTAGAATATTCTATGTATATAAACATATATGTATATAATTGTAGAGCCAGAAGAGGAATTTATCGAAAAGGATATTCTTTGCTCAATCATTTTGTGTTTTAAAGATGTCTGAATGAATATTTTTGCCGTATTCATCGAATTGTAATACTTTAAAGTTATAAATAGCTATTTGAATATGGAATGAGTTATTACTTTTTAGGTTACACTTATACATATGTCGCTTTGGAATTGAACAATATATCATACATTTCCATTGATATTTATCTTAAACGGACTTTAAAATGATATACACATAGATGGATTAAAAAAAGAGAAAAAGAAAGTACATTAATTACAAACTAAGCGAACATTAAGCACAACGAGAGACCTAAAATCAAAGAATCAATTACACAAATGAATAGCAATAGTTATTGTTGAATTGGAAAAAAAAATGAATATTCTGCTTCATATAAGATTACCATAGTGTTTGTGCGCTATATTGCATCAATTCTGGTCACTGCATTTACAAGCAATATAGAGTAGAAGGTAGGAAACAAGAAAATGAGTAAAGAGGCATATGAGAAGAGAGAGAGAGAGAACTATCGACTGATCGACTATCAAAACTTCCTAAACTTCTGGAGATTCTAAACAGAATACTTGTATCGCTGTTTGCATTTTTAAAAGCAACGGTGTAATAGACCAATTCAATAAATCTTTAGGAAATTAGAATGACAATGGAATGAATACAGGTTGGAAAAGAATCGAGGGTGGTCAAATCAAAATATGACATCAATGCATAAAGTTTTTGACTTTTGGTTTGAACCAGCCAC